GTCTGCAAAGGCTGTTCCTAGCCTTTCGATTATGATGCTTCTGAATTAAACTATCAGTGAGAATATTCTAGTTCCTTGATTCTAACAGGATCACTTCTCACAATGAAGAGATTTTGATTTCCATACTCTGAATTCCACTCACTGCCTATGTATAGGAAAGAAAGAAGAGGAGAGAGGAGAGGAGGGCTGGCCAGAGGAGAGGAGAGAAATCATTCACTTCTGGGTGCTGAGAGAGCTTTAGTGGCTCTCTGACTTAGTGCGTAATGGAAGAAAAACACCTAGTGTGCTGTATATGAAAGGACCCACCCTCAGACCTAAATACAGTTGTGTTACACCAACTACCCCCCTGATATTAAAGAGGCCCACATTCTCACATCAGTTTTTCCAGTCAGTACCTAGTACATATGAAATAAATGTTGGGTAACAAAAAACACTTCGGTCTACAACATAAAGTAAAAATACAAGCGTATTACCAGGTTAAATCCTTGATCTTGCCCCCGTTCCTATTCCATTCTCCTGCCACCTACTCCTCCCTCCCTCCTGGAGATGCCAACTGCAGCCCGGACACTAATGCTGTCTATCCACTGTGTTCCCTGGAAAGGTTCACCTGCTGTGAAAGAACCCCAAGGCTCTCCCTCCTACTGTAAATTCCCCTCCTCATCTACTAATATTTCCCATCCACTTGGAATTAGAAAAGCCAGCACTTCTCCGCTCAACATGACACTTCCTTTCATCTGATGTTATACTGGATAAAGTGTCCTTTATGTCCCTTCCAACTGAAAGTTCATTACTAGACCAACTGGTACTAAACAGTAAAGGACAACCAACTTGCTCTCAAAAACCTCTATACCACCACCACAGAAATACCTGACCGTCAAGCCCTCAGTAGGATTTATGATAGCAATAGGATGTTCATATCCTACTATTCTGCCTGTCCCTTGGCAAATGGCTGTCTGGAAATAGGAAAAAATCCAAGATACTTTTATAGAACCTAGTCATATACTCACAGGTGAGGAAACAAGAGGAGAAAATGAAAAGAACAGGCCACTCTATGACTACTCTAAAAATCTCTTAAATGCATAAAAGAGGTTCTGGAATGTGAAAGTCACTTTTGTGGCCACAAACCTTTGTTGCTGCAGGTGGACACTGTCAAAAGAAATCAGACAACTTTCATTTCATTTCATTTCATTTCATCTGTGGTGGCTTTGATTCAAGTAGACGGGTTAAAAGTAAATAAAAATACATGTTAGCAACTTCAGTGTTTTCTGTTTAATTTTTTTCAAAAATAAAGTATGTATATGCAAGTACGTAGCTTGGCTAACATACTTAAGATCTTGGACTCAACCTTCATCACCATCACTCAAAAAAGTACATATAGTCATTTTCTTTCTGGTTTTTTCCTTCCTTTCTACTCTTCAGACAAAACTATAATCAAAGAACTGACTTAAAAGGCTTTTATGATCTAGCCTGGCACTTAAACGCTCCTAATTCCACCACCAAGCATGGTCAAGACTATCTTTACATTTTAACAATTCACTAACTTTCAAAGCCAGGTATGGTAGCACACGGCAGTAATTCCAAACTCCTGCCTCCTAAAGACAGGAGGATAACTACAATTTCAAGGCCAGCCTGGGGTACACAGTGAGTTCAAGGCCTAAGACTGCTTCAAAACAACAGCAAAGAAAAACAATTTACTAACTTTCAGATTTGAATTGAGAATGCAGTCCCTGCCTATATATTTTTTGTTTGTTTGTTTTTTTATTTATGTATTTGGTACAGAGTCTCACTACTCAGCTCTGACTCACTGTGATCCTCCTGTTTTCAGGCTCCCCAACGCTGGGATTATAGGCATGTGTCACCATGTCCAGACTCAGTCACCAGTTTAGCATGCCAAGGGGCAGGGCCAGTGCAGAACTGGGAATTAAACCCTGGTCCCTGCACTTGTCGAAACAGGCACTTAGTCCACTGAGTTATCTCACTGGACCTCCCTACCTATATTTTAAAAATGAAGTTTTATACTAGGAATAGTAAGTGTGATCAAGCCAGGGGCCAAGGAGACAGAGACAGAATGCACAACACTGTGCCAGAAAAGCTTTCTAAAACATTACTGTCTTGAGGTTTCAACCCATTTTTTAAGTACTGGGGATGGAATCCAGGATCTTATATATGCGAGGCAAACATTCCACTCCATTGTGTTACATCTCTAGACCTCCAAAATCTTAAAAGAGGACAATTTATCAGTTAGAAACATTTTTCCCCCACGGAAACAGGGATTGAACTCAGGCCCTTGCACTTGCCAGGCAAGCGCTTATTGCATTGAGCTATCTCCTGGCCCCTAGAAACATTTTAGAAAATTAGAAAAACACAAAAAAAAAAAAAAAGCCAGTAGATAATTACATCTGTACAACAATCCAACATTTTACACATTACTGTGCAGGGAAAAAAAAAAATCACAGTTAGGCCTCAACTTCTAAAAAACATAATCTAGTAAGTAATGTGTCTTCAGGGACAGATTACTTTCTTGACTACTGAAGCCAGGAAAGATCTTCCTCCTAGAATGGTTCTGATTGGCAGGTACTTTCTGAGAGAAGACAGCTGAGTTAAGGAAGGCTTGTGGTCATTTTACGTCAACGGCTTAAATAAGTTGTTTTTCTCTTGTTGTTTTTTTCTTTTTTCCTTTTTCTTCCTTTTTTATTTTTGTTTTATTAATATCTATGGTTATATTGCACCCATTATCCCCCAAATCTATGTCCCCTCCAAAGAAACACAGTTGGGTTCCTGACAACATGATTAGATATGTCTATCATGATTTTTTTTCAACAGAACTTGTCAGCTTAAAGTTTTAAATGACTTAAAGCTGCTGGTATCTATTTTATTTGGCTATTAATGTAGTCAGGATGTTTAACTTACAAAAGATAAAATGAAAAAATGTTGTAGGAATCAAAAGCTCTTATTTTGACTTTTAAAATCCACCCCTAACTTGGCTGTTTGGAAAAAGTGTATGTTTATTCTATAAGACCAATAATTGAAGAGAACAAAACAAAAGAAGTATTACACACTTTAACCATAAAGTTTGTAATAGAACGTGCTTACCACGGTAAAAAGACATAAGCCACAAACAAATTTAGCAACAACTATTAGATATCATGACCTTTGGCACTGGTATTTTCCAGCATCGTTTCAGGTATCACTGGTAAAGATGGCAGAAGAAATCTAATCCCTTAATGCCTATGTTCCAAACTTTTGAAAAAACTTCAGCACAAGCAACATCTTTCCAGTTACTTTTAAGAACCAAGGCAATGTTTAAAAGAAATAGTACACCAACCAGCTTGGTGGCACACACCTAATCCCAGCATTTTCACAGCTCAGGCAAGAGGAACACTGTGGGTGTAAAGCCAGCATGGGCTACAAAGTGGGAGCTGGAACTGCACAGAGAAATCCCAGGGAGGAGGGAGGGAGGGAGGGAGGGAGGGGAATGAGCACACCAAAACATCAATAGATAAGGAAGAGTTTCAACAGCAAGACAAACCAACAACTAGCACACTGAAGGAAATCTTAAGGCTAATGTGCTCATAGTTCAGAATGAAAACAAAAAGATGTACACAACCTCTTCAATATCATCCATCTTTAAGAGGAACCACATAAAAACTAGATGATGTTTTTAACTGTGAACACCACATGTGCATTTTCCCATTGAGGATATGGACTTCCAACCAATGTGCCTGGTTCTACCATGTGTTAGCACAAAGAATAAAGAAAAATATCAGACAATCAATGGTTTAAAAATAAAAAATATTGGAAATCATTAGCTTGTACATCACCCAATTATAAACACCATACGAAATTCCTTCACTTTCACCTTTGAAATAGTCTATGGCTTGTGTCTGGATGCCCCCAAAAGCCTTATGCACTTTTAGAAGGGAATTCCTCAAAAACAGCTGAAATCTAGAGTGTGTGACTGATTCAAGTACAGTGCTGAACTGAAGGGTGCTGGGATTAAAGGTGAGTGATTTCAGAGATCAGCCCACTGACTGGATTGGCACCACCCTAATCCCAGCAAAGTGGATAAGATAAAAGGGGTAAAACAAGGATTGTTTCTCCCTTTCTGTTCTTGTTGCTTTCCACCTCCATGCACTGTTGTCCTCTGCTACGTGGCACATCACTTTGAAGCCAGGGGATTATGAACTGGAACCTCTACAGACTGTTAGCTAAATAAACCTTTCTCTCTTTAACTTTGGGTGCTGGGTATTTTGTCTCAACGATGAGAAATATAACTAAGACAAACAGAAAGACACAACCCAGCTGGCACCACAAAATGCCCTCCCAACAGAAGAACGGAAAAAGGAGGCTAACACAGCTGAAGTGGCTGGCTACCAATATTTCAAGTCTAAAAAGAAAAAAGTCCTTCAACAAAATTATTATAAACTGTGGTAGGGCACACTTCAGTGCAAAGGAAAAAAATATGTGGACTATAAAAACCTAAGTACTTTAAACCATTTGAAAGTTTCATACCTGTCCTATTGTCATGAATTCCCCCTATTACAATGTTTACCTAACAAAATGTAATACTACATAGGTAATTAAATTTTTAAGAAATAAAATCAAGATTCAGAAATAGGCCTTTTCTACTTCCTTTCTCAGCTGCTTGCCTTCTCGTACAACAACCTTGGCAGGGACATAAAAGGTCTCCAGACACTGCAATGAATAAGGAAGGTCTAAATGAACAAACCTTGGCATTCATAAATGAAGCAGTCTTTTAAAAACCAAAGAGCTAAAACAGAGGCTAAGTAATGCTCCCTGAAGAAAGAAATTCACATTTTAAGAAACAAAATACAATTCTCAGAGATCATAAGGCAGTGCTATAAACTAGTATCTTTCCAATCAACTGAGAAAGTTTGACGCAGTTCAACAAGAAAAACACAATGGCATGCACCTCCCCCACAGACAGCTCTTCAGCAGCTTTCAAACACATATTATTATCAATACATGTAGCTACTTACTTGCTTCCTTCTGTAATGAGCAAAATGAGAGAGTCCTAAAACAGTGGCAAGAGCACCTCCTCCAACAAGAGCAGTCCCTTTCACCACCTTGTAAAAAGCCATTTCTTAACCTACAAAAGAAACAAAAAAAGTTCACTGGGATTTTTATTTTTTTTATTTTTACTTTTTATTTTAACTTAGTGCAGGGTCTACAGGGTCTCACTACACAGATCAGACTCATAGTAAACCTCCTGTTTTCAGCTTCACAAGCGCTGGGATCACAGGCACATGCCACCATACCCAGTCTCAATCGCCACCTCAGCAGGCGGGGCGGCAGGGAGATGGCATTCCAGGATTCGATCTCCAGTCCCTGCAGCTGCATAAAACAGACACTTTAATCTGATGTGCTATCTGGCCAGCCCTATGGGATTTTTACTGTATAACAATACAAATAATAAACAGATACTGCATGGATTATGAATCTATGTTAAACTACAAAAGGAAACAAAATAAGGAAGTGACTAACATGCTAACTTGTATAGAGAATTCAAAAGCAATAATCAGGGCTGGAGAGATGGCTCAGTGGTCTAAAGCACCTACTTGGAACAAGCTTGGCAAAGCACAGGGACTGCGGTTCAATCCCCCAGCACCACATGCCAGCCAGCCCCACCCCCTGGTGGGCTGAGCTGGCCACACACACACACACATACACAATGAATAAATAAATAAAATAAAAATTAAAAAAAAAGCAATAATCAAAACAAACCTAGATAAGGGAACTGATTATGTAAAGTCACATTCAGATCCAACAGAAACTAAGGAAAGAAAAGCAAATTAAGAGACAACTAAAGATACTTAAACAGTATAAGGTCAAGAGAACTGTGGAAAGAAATGTCACAGTGTATTTGACAAAACTGCATGCTGTACTTGCCAATTTGTTCAACAGATAATCCCCTCCACAGGGAGGATTGGCGAAGTGTTGGGCCACTCAACATAACAGTAAACCTCAGGTCTGCTCCTGGCTTTTTGGAATATGTTTAACTCAAATTGTGTCACAACTTTATATATATATAGATATATAGATATAGATATAGATATATAGATATAGATATAGATATATAGAAAGAGAGAGAGAGAGAGGAGAGAGAGAAGGGAGAGGAAGAGGGAGAGAAGAAGGAGACGGAGAGGGAGAGACTGGATTGTGTCACAACTTTATATATATATGGGGAGGAGGGCGGGAGAGAGAGAGAGAGAGATATTGGACTTGTAGTGATCATCCTGCTTTTCAGCCTTCCAAGTGCTGGGATTACAGGCGTGCAGCAGGCCCAGTCTCAATAGCCATCTCAGCAAGCCCTGGGGAGGAGCCAGCAAAGCAGGTTGGCCCCTGCATCTGCCTAAACAGGCTCTTTAATCTGCTAAGCTATTTGGCCTGCCCAATTTTTCCCTTCTTAATGAAGTTCTCAATAGAGCTAAAGGCCACACTTTTTCTTTTTTTTTTTTTGCTGGTAGGGGTCTTTTTGAAATAGGGTCTCACTGTGCAGTTCAGGTTGGTTTCAAATTCACAATGATCCTTCCTACCTCAGCCTCTCAAATACTGGGATTATAGGGCATGCACCACCATGCTCTGTTTCCAAACACATATTTCTACCACTCAAGAGTCTGGTGCTGTATTGATAGGAAAAGTTAGGCAGTCAGTCTTTATATTTCAAAACTGATTAACTTAACCTGCTATAATTATTTTCATTAGAGGAATTTCACATTTTCTTCTAGGCAGTTTCATGAAACAATTTCAAGAGAATACTCTCCTGATCAAGCCCTCTTTCATTGCTTACTGTGTATTTTTAAAGTTTCATTATTATTATTATCTAAAGAGAATACAAATAAAACAAGAGATTATAAAAGAGTAAAAAAAAATAGAAATGATATAGAACTTCACTAAACAAAATAGGAATTTGACAATGGTCATTGTATTGCATAATTTTATCTTCACATTAGTTGTTCAGATTACCAGATTATAACTATGCAAAATTAGTATTTAAAAAAAGTTATAGGGAATTAAAATGACAAGAAAAATACTGAAGCATCAACTGCTCCCCTCTGTAAACCAACAAAAATCATGCAGTGCAATTATCCAAGCCATCCTACATATATACTGTCTCAGTTACTTTTCTCTCATTGCTAGGACAAAATACCCAGCATCCACAATTAAAGAAGGGAGGGTCTATTTAGCTTATTTAATTTATTTATTAGTTTATTTAGTTTCAGTATATACTCAGCTGGTTCCAAGGCAGAAAGAGCAAGTGTTCATGGTGGCAGAAAACAGCAAAGAGCAAAGGCAAAAGGGAAGAGCAGCAGCAGCAGAGGCAAGCCTCTTTCCTCACTTTATATTGCCTTCAAATTATCTGCCCCAGGGTGGGGGCAGCACTCACACCATAATCCTAGCAATATACAAACCCATAATCCTAGCCTTGGATCATGAATTAATCACAAACTCTAGAATCATTCCCCAATGATTGCACAAGAATTTGGAGGGACAACTACACACAAGCCACAAAGCATACACAAAAATCTCTTTCCTACTCTACTGTCCTTTGCCTCATCCCAGTTTTTCCTTCTCTTTGAACAGATTCTTATCCTTTCACAGTATCAGATCTATTTCATTATGAGTAAGTACAGTCTCTAGTTGTACCCACTTACTCATACAAGCCTTGAGTTAATCTTTTTTATACCTGAGTAATACACCATTGTATAAAAATACATCTTTTTTATTCTCATTTGAGGGATATTTGGCTTGTATCCAAGGTTTAGTTATAACAAATTGTGCTGCTATAAACATCAGTGCACATATATCGCTGTGGTATGCTGTTTTCTCATTTTCTGGAAAAATACCCAGGAGGGGAAACACTGAGTTAAATGAGACCTCATATCCTAGTGTTTTGAGGAAATTCTACACTTATTTCCACAGCGGTTGTGCTAGCCTTCAAATGGAGAAGGGTTCCTTTTTCCCCACAGCCCCTCCAGCATGTGTCATTGATAGACTTCTTGATCACAGCCATCCTTTCTGGGGTAAGATGGATCTCAGCATTGTTTTAATTTGTATTTTTCAAATGATCAACGATCTTTTTCACATATTTACTTGCCATTTGTATTTCTTCATCTGAAAAGTGAATATTCATCTCAGATGCCCATTTTTGAATTGGGCCTTTGAATTTGGGGGCCCTGATTTTTTAAAATTATTTATATGTTCTGATAAAAAGTCCTTTGTGTGAGGGACAGTGAGTGTCTCCATTACTTTTCTCTTGCTGCTGGGACAATATACCTGACACCCCAAATTAAGAAAAGGAATTTTATTCAGCTCACAGTTTCTGGAGGTTTCAGTCCATAACCAGCTGGCTCAAAGGCAGAGAAGCACATGGCACAGGGTAGCAATTCATGGTGGCATAAGACAGCAAAACAGCAAGAGCAAAAAGGGAGGAACAGCAGCAGCAGCAGCTGAGGCAAGCCTTTTTCCCTTTGTTACATTGTATTCAGACTATCCACGGTGTAGCACTCACACCCATAATCCCGGCAGCACTCACACTCGTAATCCTAGCATTGGAAGATGAATTAATCACAAACTCTAGAAGCCACCCCAATGACCGCATGAAGCTTTGAGGGGACAACTAAACACAAATCATAATGGTAAAATTTTTACTTAGTTCATGGGTTTACTATTTACTCTATTAGTGATTTCTTTTGGCAAGCAGAACTTCAAAAAGATGAAATTCATGAAGTTGAGTCTTTGTGTTTCTTGTATACAGGATATGGTTAGATTTTGTTTCTTGACCCACTCTGGCAGACTGCTTTTTTTTTTTTAATTTATTTTTATTTGTGTGTGTGTGTGTGTGTGTGTGTGTATGTGTGTGTGGCCAGCTCAGCCCACCAGGGGACGCAGCTGGCTGGCATGTGGTGCTGGGGGATTGAACCGTGGTCCATGTGCTTTGCTAAGCTTGTTCTAAGTAGGTGCTTTAGACCACTAAGCCATCTCACCAGCCCCAGACTGCTTCTTCTGATTGGTGAACTGAGACCACTTACCTTGATGGTTGTAACATATGTATTGGTTTATCTTTGTCATGCTATTTTCCTGCTGTAGGTTCCTACTTTTCTCCTCTGTTTAACTACTTGTTCTGCTTGGTGGCTCCTTTCTTTGTTCTTGAATTTGCAGTCATTTCTATTTCTTTCTAGAAAGTCTGTCCATACTTTTTGGATGGTTGGTTTTGTGGTCATGAATTTCTTCAGTTGTCATGGAAGTACCTTATCTCTGCATTACATTTTATAGTTTTGCACAGTACACCACTGTGGGTGGGAAGTGGTTTTCTCTCAGTCCCTCCAATACTTTCCACCAAGCTCTCCTTGATCTGATAGCTTGTGCTGAGACACCTGCCATGCTTCTGGTGGGCTTTTCATAGAAGACGATCCAGCCATTCTCTCTAACAGCTTTTCATATTCTGTTGTTTGCTGAATTTCCGGAATCTTGATTATTACGTGTCTAGGTGCAGGTTTATTTTGATTATGGCTAACTGGTATACGCCTCGTTTATTTGTATGTCAGATCTTTTTCCCACGCTTGAGAAATTTTCTGGTACTACCTCTACAAATAGTCTTTTGTATCATTTGTGCTGACTCCTGCTGTTTGGTTGATACCTATCAGTCATATTATTTTTTTCTGCATCGTCTTGTGGCTGCTGAATTGTTATTTCCTGGTTCCTTGTTAGTTTTAAGAGCTCTTTCCTTTCCTTCCGCCCTCACTAGCTGCAATGCTCTCTTTAAAGATAGCCTGAAGATTTATCTTCAGTTTTGTTTAAACAGTTCTGCCAGCTTTCAATGGAATTCTGAACTTCCTGGAAACCTGAATGTTTCACGCATTCTAACTCTTTCCTATATTGTTCATTTAATGTTTCTAACACTTTTTTATTCTCTATTTTTTTTTTTAATCTAGGCCTTTAGATATGCTGAGCAATTCTTTCACGGTTGTTGTCACTCTGCTTTTTACCTTAGAGATTATTTCTTACATGATTTTTTTCCTTACCCTGATGCAGCTGTTCTTTTACTTCAGCTGCTGTTATTTCAGAAATTTCAAGTGTGTGGCTTCC